CCCCCCCCCCCCCCCCCCAAAAAAAAAAGAAAAGAAGAAGAATCTACCTTGTGAAAAGCCTATAATCATAGACTTAGCTGGTTAGCTAATGGATTCATTGTTTTAGCAGTAACTTGTATTATATATAACTGTCAATATAACCATGACTTCCTGATTTTGTCACCTAGAATTGCTTAGAACTCATGTGCCATATCTGTGTACTGTAAGACTTCACCATTGATGTTGAACCTGGTGGAACCATGTCTTGTGTCTTTGTCATTATTTTGTTAACTTAGGAACACGAAAGATCAAGTGTTCTCAAATTGGACATGAGAATATTCTTCTGCATATGCTCGGGTTGACGTTTAACGAAACATCACACCATCATCACTAATCAGTAGAAACCATATCACCACAGGAAATAAGTTTGTAGCCACCTAGCTAAGATTTAATATTCTATGTGTTACCATGACAGCCAAATGTAGTAGGGTCAGGGAGTCGTGTCAAGTTAGCTTAGATATTCTAAAGTCTTTATTCATATAGCATATGTAAGAGAGGGAGAAAAATTTTGGTGAAGACTAATGTCATGTAATTCATATTATCTTGTGTGAGTGGCTGCTATTCTCCACTCCTAACCATCCTCTTAACCAGGATATTCACCTTATGCTTTTCCTTATAGGTTAACTAAATATATCAAATATCGATGATCTTTTTTTCTTCTTCTTAGAATTCTATCCTTCATGATTAAAAAAATTTCTATTTACATTCTATGGAGTGCTATTTCTCAATTTAGGTCTTTCGTAGTCTAAATTTTGGGGTTAAAAAATTAATTATATTTGTGATAAAAAAAAAAAAAAGTGAAACAAATTTATTTTCAAATATTCCTATTATATTACCAAACTCTTGACTTTAAAAATATAAAATAAGTCTTCAATATTTTTAAGAATAAGCAAATTTGTATTTATTAAACAGGTAAGATCTTGTTCGATAATAATTTGGTTTCTTTCATGTTAAGAACCTATAAGCTTAAAAAATCCTCTTAAAATTTTAAAAAAGAATTAAAAAATAATAAAAAAAATGCATGAAAACTAATTTTGTATCAAAAATATACTTGAACTTTAAAAGTAGTATATTAAAGTAATTTTTAATATACCCTTAACAGCCGGGCTTTTTACAGATGCCTTCTAACAGACTTTTTATAGATACCTTTTAACTTTTGGAAGTATTTTAAGTTACAGTTTTATATTTTAAGTTTCAGTTTTAAACTTTTTTAAAAAATTTTATAAAAATTATTCAATTTTCTTGTAAAACAATTCAAAAATACTTTTAGTCTTAGTACTTGTCATGAACTTTCAAAAGTAAAAATGTTTGAAAATAACGTATAAGATGTTGATAGACAGTTTTTCTCCATATACTAATAATAAAAAATTTTAATTTTTTTTTAGAAAGGTAGGAGTGATAATGCAGCTTTTAAAACTTCATGGGTATTTTTTAAGTATAGTACGGAACGGTAAAGGACATTTTTTAACATTTTAAATAGTTAAATAGTATTAATGAAATTTTTTGAAATTTTAAGTGTATTTTTGAAGTGAAGTTTATATTTTTAGAATTTTTAAAATAGTTAAAGGATGTTACTGAAAATTTCAAAAGAAATATTTTTTTTAAGATAAAGTTTTTAGTTTAGGGATATTTTATTAATTTAGCCTAAATATTTCCTTAGTTATTGCTTGGTTTTTGTTGTCTAATAAGAACAAGTTGTTTCTTCTATTTAGCTATCTGTCTGTACCTTTTAGACGTTGGAAAGCTGCTTTGATGGCCATCCTCAATCAGCAGGTGTAGCCAAGCATGGGCTTCAATCTATACCATACAGACAATCACATAGTCTGTGTGCAGACAATCCCTGAACCAATCACCAGGGGACACCTATCCTTCCTGTTCTGCATTCCATGAATCCATAGTTCATCACAAACTGCTGTTCTTTCTGCTGTACTTTGCCTGCCTTTCAACTTTCTAGCTTTTTAATGTCTGGAGGGCTGCTTCCTACCTACCCTCACACCTCTGCCTCTTTCCATCTTCCTGTCTCTTTGACCGAAACAAATCAACAGACGGTGTTGAAAACGAAAAGTTAGTACCACAAGCTACCGTTAGCCGATATTATCTACGTCTGTTAGGGAGAGATTTTTACACCCTTATAAGAAATGTTTCATTCCCCTACCCTTATAAGAAATGTTTCATTCCCCTCTCCAATTGATGTAGGATCTCACAATCCACCCCCTTAGGGTCAATGTCCTCGTTGGCACACCGCCCGGTGTCTGGCTCTAATACCATTTGTAACAGCCCAACCCCACCACTAGCAGATAATGTCCTTTTTGGCCCGTTACGTATCGACATCATGAGCTTCATAGTTTTAAAACACGTTTACTTAGAAGAGGTTTTCACACTCTTATAAGGAATACTTCGTTCCCCTCCAACCGATGTGAGATCTCACAACATAAGCTATAGACTTTATAACTATTCATAATACTCACGTTATAGTTGTTAAGCACCGGTAGTACAGTAATTTCCCTTTTCCACAATCATATTAACTCCTGCACATGCAAGCTCATGAAGCTTTAACTCATATCATAACCATCATTTATCAGTATCACCCAACTACCTCTCCCAACCTTTCCATTAAATGCTGCATGCATTCATTCACAGTTTCCCAGCTAATAATTTTGTTCATAATGGTTGCAGGAAAGCAAAGAAAGCCGAGGGAAAATTTTGTTCATTACAGTATTTCTTCATTAACACAGCCCTCCAGACTCAACCTCCAGCTTCCTTCAATAAAAGGGTCAAGTTATAATTCAAGGTTCAGTTGCAAATCACAGCACCAAAGAAGAAAGATGGATTCTATGATTAGCCAAGTGTTGGTGTTGTTCTTAGCGTTCTTGCTTGTGTGTGGAAATGCTCAAGACTCTACAACTTTGGTGCCTGCTATCATTACTTTTGGTGATTCTGCTGTGGATGTGGGGAACAACAACTATCTTTACACTATTTTCAAGGCCAATTACCCTCCATATGGAAAGGACTTTGTGAATCATCAGCCCACTGGCAGGTTTTGCAATGGAAAACTTGCTACTGATTTCACTGGTACGTAATAGTTTCATAAACTTTACACACATTTGGCCTTACATAATGGTTGGATAAACTTCCTGTTCTTCTTGTTCTTCTGGTTCTTCAGCTCAAAGTTTAGGATTCAAGTCCTTTCCATTGCCATACCTTAGCCCAGAGGCATCCGGTAAGAATCTTCTCATTGGAGTCAATTTTGCCTCTGCTGCCTCTGGTTATGATGAGAATGCTGCTCTCTCAAATGTAAGAATGTTTAACTTTTGATCTTGGAAGCCATACCAATCTCCTTGTTCTGTACTTAGTTTTTACTTTGAACTTGGTAACAGCATGCACTCTCACTGCCTCAACAAGTTGGATTGTTCAAGGAGTACCAAGCTAAGCTGGCTAAGGTAGCAGGCAATGAGAAATCAGCCTCCATAATCAAGGATGCACTCTACTTGCTGAGTGCAGGAAGTGGAGATTATCTGCAGAACTATTACATCAATCCTTATATTAACAAGCTCTACACTGCTGATCAGTACGGTTCAATGCTCATAGCAGCATTTACAACATTTATCAAGGTATGTTCTTACAACATTCATGACTAAGTTCACCGCATGAAATATGATGGATGATCAATGCATTTCTGTTATGAAAAACAGGACATCTATGGTTTAGGAGCTAGGAGAATTGGAGTGACTTCACTTCCTCCATTAGGCTGCTTTCCTGCTGCTCTCACCTTGTTTGGCAACCATCAAAGTGGGTGTGTCTCAAAGATCAATACTGATGCACAAGCCTTCAACAAGAAGCTGAATTCTGCAGCAGAAAGTCTGAAAAAACAGCTTCCTGGTTTTAGAATTGTGATCTTTGACATTTACAAGCCACTTTTCGATGTCATCAATTCTCCATCAAAAAACGGTAAGGCTTTGAATGAAGCAACAGAAAGAAGCAGAAGGGTTCACTAATTTTCTCATTTTGTCTTTGTTTTTGTTTTGGTTAGGGTTCATGGAAGCCAGAAAAGGGTGCTGTGGAACAGGGACAGTGGAGACAACATCACTTTTGTGCAACCCCAAGTCCTTGGGAGGAAGCTGTTCTAATGCAACTCAATATGTGTTTTGGGATAGTGTGCATCCTTCTGAGGCTGCTAATAAAGTTCTTGCTGATGCCTTGATTCTCCAGGGCTTTGCTCTCCTCTAGATCACTAATCATGAGCTGTTCTTCTCCACTTGCTTCAAATGATCTGCATTGCAGGAATTTGTAGTCTGTTTTAATTATGTATCTGAGCAAACCTGTTCTATTTACTCCATATTATAAGCTAAACAACTTCCTTTGTGAGCTGAAACATTGCATTAAATTTGTTCTGTTTACTCCTAGTCGTTTCATTTCCTTCTAATCATTCCAAGACATCTTAAACAAAACTTCCAACCAAACGAATGTCTCACGGTCTCAATTTCGTTGACTTATGACCAATAAAATAAGTTATCCTTTCAAGTTGGAACATATCAAATTGGCTCATTGCCAAGTCTAAGGTTGACTATGTCTGAGAAAATGATGTTTTTGTAATCAAATCTCAACTTGAGCGAAGTTGACTAATTGGTTTAGCAATAAAACAAGTGGATCGGAGGAAACGCCTCAATGTATATGCTCAAAGACTAATAGAATCATGGGGAGGAGCTTCATACACTTCCTCTTGGGTTTCCTACCCACTTTTGTTCTTCTGCAATTGGGTTATGGCCAGAGTCAACAAGGTTTGTATTGCCATGTTTGTGTGTATGTGCTACTACAACAGCCTTTCTATGATTTGGGTATCATTTATATGTGTTCTTGGTTATATAATTGCTTCAGGCTTTATCAGTATTGACTGTGGATCCAACTCTAGCTACACAGAGCCAATTACAGGTTTAAATTATGTTCCGGATTCAGAGTTTATCAACACTGGCATCATAACAAGTTTACCATCAAGTAGTGGATTGTCTAATGTACAGAAACAGCTATGGAATTTAAGAAGCTTCCCTCAAGGAACAAGGAACTGTTACAACGTTCCCGTGAAAGTTGGAACTAAGTATTTGATTCGAGCTAGTTTCTTGTATGACAATTATGATGCTAAAAACACCGTTCCTGAATTTGATTTGCACTTTGGACCAAACTTGTGGGTCAATGTGAAACTAGAACTCCCAGAGAACATCATACACGAAGAGATCATTCACATCACAACTTCAAATAATGCACAAGTTTGTCTTGTCAACACTGATAAAGGGACGCCCTTTGTTTCTGCCTTGGAGTTCAGGCCTTTGGAACTATCAAGCTATAAAACTGTGTCTGGATCATTAGCCACCTTCTTGAGATTGGATATTGGAGAAAACAAAACATTCACTCGGTAAGTGACCATTTCATGTTTCTAAGCGTTTTTTTTTTTAAATGTTTACTCATTATAGTTTGAAGTTTTTAGATACCCAGATGATGATTATGATCGTATTTGGAGTCCACCAACCCCGGTGGCTGAATGGGTTCCAATAAGTACCTCTTCTCCAGTAAACAACAACGATAATATAGGCTTTAAAGCACCATCTTCAGTGCTTAAGACAGCCTCCACAGTGGCAAATGAAAGTGCACCCATGATAATACCTTGGAGTGATCCTGATCAATCTATCCAATTCTATATATACTTATATTTCGCTGAGTTTCAAACATCCCTGTCTAGAACCTTCAAGATCTATCACAATGAGAAGCTTTTTTATAGTGAGGATTTGTCCCCGGCGTATCTCACAGAAAATGTCATCTATAGCCAACAACCCTTTCCTATTAGTGGGAGACATATAGTTAATTTGATTAGGACTGAAGATTCAGCTCTCCCACCCATCTTGAATGCGCTTGAGATCTTTAAAGTGATGAACTTTGAACAACCTACCACAGATCAAGGAGATGGTAATATTGTATATTTTCATTCTTTTGTCTCTGTAAATGTTTACCTCCCTGATCCATTGTGTTCTATGCAGTGGATGCTATTGAATCCATCCAGAAATTTTATGAGGTTAAAATAGAAGATTGGCAAGGAGATCCATGTGCCCCAGAAGCATTAGCTTGGCGGGCTCTTACCTGTGAATATGATGATGGTTCAAAGCCTCCTAGAATCACAGGCTTGTGAGTGCCCCCAACATTAAAAGGTTTTAGATTTGCAAGAGTGATTACCTTACTTGAATATAACTCTTATCAGGAACTTGTCATCTACTGAATTGGCCGGAAAAATTACAAACAACATAGCTAATCTACTAAAGCTCGAGGTTTTGTAAGTGTTTGATTCTAATGCTGAATATCTTGAATCTTATCAACAAGTTCTTCAACCAAGAGTTTCATCGCTCATTTCAGGGATCTGTCAAACAATAACCTAAGCGGATCAGTGCCAGAATTTCTAGCTGACCTGCCATTCTTGAGGGTTTTGTAAGTTTACTCTCTGCTCCATTAATCCATTTGAGAAGACTTACTGGTTAGGAATCACGACTCTCCACGATGGTATGATACTGTCCACTTTGAGCATAAGCTCTCATGGCTTTGCCTTGGGCTTCCCCAAAAGGCCTCGTACCAATGGAGATGTATTCCTTACTTATAAACTCATGGTCATCCTCTAAATTAGCCAACGTGGGACTCCCTTCTAATAATCCTCAACAATCCTCCCCTCGAACAAAGTACATCATAGAGCCTCTCCTGAGACCTATGTAGCCCTCGAACAGGCTCCCCTTAATCGAGGCTCAACTCCTTCTCTGGAGCCCTCGAACAAAGTACACCCTTTGTTCGACACTTGAGTCACTTTTGACTACACCTTCGAAGTTCACAACTTCTTTGTTCGACATTTCTATTGACATGGCTAAGTTAAGGGCAGGGCTCTAATACTATGTTAAGAATCATGACCCTCCACAATAGTATGATATTGTTTACTTTGAGCATAAGCTCTCGTGGCTTTGCTTTGGGCTTCCCCAAAAAGCCTCGTACCAATGGAAATGTATTCTTTACTTATAAACCCATGATCATCCTCTAAATTAGTCAACGTGGGACTCCCTCCCAACAATCTTCAACATTACCTATATATATATATAATCTTTGTCTTCTTGTTATAGAAACTTATCAGGAAACAACCTATCTGGACAAGTTCCTGCTGCACTTATTGACAAAAAGAACAAAGCTTCCTTTTCACTAAGGTTGTCCTTTGAACTTACTAAACCATGCAACTGATATCAACTAGTCAAGCCTCTGATATCAACTTAACTTGCATAAATACTTCTTTCATCAGCTTGGATGGGAACCCAAATCTGTATGTGACAGAGCCAAGCGAGAAAAAGAAGAGTACCAATATACTAATTCCAATTCTAGCAGCAGTTGGTGGTGTTATTATCATATTGCTGATTTTAGCTTCAATCTACTACTACTTTTTCCGGCGAAGAACAAGTTCTAAAGGTATCTCAGTAGGTTGGTTATCGATTGTTTCTTACATTGAACACCAAGAACTTACATTAAATCTTTAATTGTTATAGCTCCTGTGATGATGATGATGAAGCCTCATTCACCACAAAACTCTGGTTTTGAGCTTCAACCACCTGAGCCATTGGAGCAGCAGCCAAGTCGAAGATATTCATATGTGAGTATCTTAGAAATGACCAATCATTTTGAAACGCTGCTAGGTGAAGGAGGCTTTGGAAAAGTTTACTATGGTCTCATTGGTAACACTGAAGTAGCGGTAAAGATATTGTCTGCAAAGTCAGCTCAAGGTTATCGAGAGTTTCAATCCGAGGCATGTTGTTTTAACAGTACAATGACATTTCTTCAACCCCATTTGGCTTTTTTTTTACTTAATGTTGTTAAACACTTTGAGAAAAATCATGGCAGGTTGATATTCTGTTAAGAGTTCATCACAGAAATTTGACTAGCTTAGTTGGATATTGTAATGAGGGCGAGGAGAAAATGGGGCTTATCTATGAATATATGGGCAGAGGAAACCTCGGATCACTCCTTTTAGGTACGCTTCATTCCAAGCCCACCGTTAACACTTGTTACATATCATTTTCAGCCCCACGATTGTAAAACGCTTCTGTTAAGGAGAGATTTTCACACCCTTGTAAGAAGTGTTTTGTTCTCCTCTCCAACCGATGTGGGATTTCACAATCCACCCCCTTGGGGGCCAGCGTTCTCGCTAGCACACTGCTCAATGTCTGGCTCTGATACCATCTGTAACGACCCAAGCCCACCACTAGTAGATATTGTCCATTTTGACCCGTTACGTATCGTCGTCAGCCTCATGGTTTTAAAACACGTCTACTATGGAGAGAATCTAGTATCTACATTTTAAAACGTGAGGCTAACAACGATACGTAACGAGCCAAAACGAACAATATCTACTAGCGGTGGACTTGGACGGTTACAAATGGTATTAGAGCCAGATTTTGAACCGTGTGCCAGCAAGAACGTTGGGCTCTCAAGGTGGTTGGAGAGGGGAACGAAACATTCCAAAATGAGGCTCTCTCTAACGGACATGTTTTAAAACCGTGAGTCTTGACAGTGAAAATCTCACTTTATGGTTGATGAATTCTGTATAGGTGGAAAAGGACAGGTTTTAAGATGGAAAGACAGACTTCAAATAGCACTAGATTCAGCACAAGGTGAGCATGTGAATGATGATGCATAGTAAATTAGTTTTGCTTTCATTTCCCTTTCAGATGATATTGGTAAAAAAAAACTGCAGGTCTGGAATATCTGCATAATGGTTGTAGGCCACCAATAATACATAGAGATATCAAACCAAGCAACATTCTATTGAATGAACATTTACAAGCAAAACTGGCTGATTTTGGGCTATCCAGGGCTTTCCCTATCGATGGTGATGCCACCCATGTGACTACCAAAGTCGCTGGCACTCCTGGCTACCTTGATCCCGAGTATGTACTTCAAATTTGTCGTTATAAAAGAGATGAACTGTGTTTAGTTGACAGCATTTCATTGGTTTTCATTTGCAGTTACCACGTATCATTTAGATTAACGGAGAAGAGCGATGTTTACAGCTTTGGAATTGTTGTTATGGAACTCATCTCCGGGAGACCCGTGATACTAAAAACTAGTGAAAGATGTCACATAACTAAGTGGGTTGATTTCAATATTAATCAAGGAGATATCCACTCTATAATTGACCCGAGAATAAAAGATGGTTGCAATGTCAACTCCGTGTGGAAAGCAGTAGATATGGCAATGGCTTGCACTACTACAGATCCTACAAATAGGCCAACAATGAACCAAGTTGTGAGCGAATGTCTAAACCTCGAGTTAAACCCACGCGAAGATCGTCAAGTTGACTCTATCACATCTATTAGCTCGACATT